GTATCACTACGGAAGTAGATTGCCCCATCTTCCTTCCGAGGAGTGGCTGGTGGGTTTGAACCGCCAGCCTTCTGGTCAGCAGTCAAATGCCTTAGGCACTATGCTGCCAGAGCTCCTTGTCTATGTATAGGTTCCACATAAGTACAATTAAGTGTTCTGGACTTTCCATTCTTCACAATGTTACCTGTAATTTGTTATGATCCATGTGGTTGAATCTCTTTGCATAGTCAACAAAAGGTAACATCTCTTAGTTCTCTCGTGCTGCTCTAAAAAAATACCATAAGTGGATGGCTTTAATAAACAGAAATTTACTCCCTTACAGTTTAGGAGGCTAGACGTCTGAGTTCAGAGTGCTGGCTCTCGGGGCTAGGTGGAGGCCAGCTTCAGCTCTGGCTTCCAGGCCTACTGGAGGAAGCTTAGAGGCTTCTCCTGACTCACCCAGTTATAAGGGCTGATGAATTCAACATTTCCAGGCTGCACACTGTTGGCCCACAGGCTGTGAAGGCAACAATCACAAGATTGGCCACTGGTTCAAGTCCAGAAAATGGAGATGATGAATTGTGAACCAAATGCAGAATCCTTTCCATATGTACTGGAAGCAGGCCATACCCTGAAGGTAACTCCCCTTTAACTGATTAACTGTTCACAGCATATTCCACCATGGAAGTGATTACACTATGTCCAATCTCATCATGGGAATAACTACATCCAGCTGCCAAGTCACTCAAAATCATGGCCCAGGCAAGTTGACATACAACCTTAATGGCCACAATATCTTTCTGGTATTCTCTGCTTCCAACCAAGAACCATCTGATAATCAGCAATGATATCCCTCATCCTAAATCCTCTTCTGAATCCAGCTTGAATTTCTGGCAGTTACCTGTCAGTACATTTACTTGTGTGTAATATTAATGATACTGTTCAGTAATTTCTGCATTCTGTTGGACCACCTTTCTTTGGAATGGGACACAGAGCTCGTTCCTGCTGGGGTAGAGCCAGCATGAAATGGGAGATGGGGAAGCAGTGGCAGTCCCTAAAGGCTTTCAAGAGACACTGGGGAAGCACTTTCTCCTGGGCTACAAGTGGCTTTCCCCACCTTTCCCTAATTCCCTTGTAGCAGAGGTAGTCAGAGGGCACTACCTGCCCACCACCATCTCAGTCCCTTCACAACTTTACCTGTCACCCTCTCCTTGCCATCCCGGTCCCTGCACTCCTTGCGGGCCCTCAGCCGCAGGGCCTGGTTCTGCCTGATGATTGTGGCCTGGATGATCTCCACGACCTCCACCTCCTTCTGGGGGATGTATGTGCCTGCAAAGGGAAGATGAAGAAGACATTAAAGGTCAGAAGATATCAGGGCTAAGGTGGGAAGGTAGGAAGCCCCTGACCCCAACTTGGGGTCTATGGAAGGAAGACAACTTACCAGGTCCTTCAAATAGCCACTCATCTCCTGCCACCACGTCGTCTCCATTCTTATCCTCAAAATCCAGCAACGCCTTAAGGTGGAGGGCAGTGTTGGGCAAAACCACCTGCAGTGGGGTTATGTTCTAGTGGGAGAAAGAGAAAGAGGTTCATGGGCAGTTGTCTTGGGACTCCAGAGGTCAAACTTGATACCTTTGAGGTTGTAATCCATGACATCAACCTTGACATGTCCCCAAATAAGACCATGGGTGGAATGTGTAAGGTAGGAGCAATCCCAAAGCCACCTGGTCTGAAGAACTAAGTGTTGGCCTCAACAGAGATAGAGAGTACCACTGCTGATGAGCCAAAATGTCATTGTTTTTGTTGTTGTTTTTCTTATGTGCTGTCAAGTCGGACCTGACTCATAGTGACCCCTTCTTGAGTTTCTGAGGCAGTATCACTATGGAAGTAGCTTGTCCAAATAATACATGTTTTTCCTGCAGGAAGTGCTTAGAACTTGCAATTCTCTATGAGGGAAACTGGGTAGAGGGTTTGGTGGGAGATGTAGGAGGAATATCAGGAAGCTGCATAAATTAATACTTTATGGCCTAGTATGAGGAGGCAGTCCTTCAGACCAGCCCAACAGCTATGGTCTTTCACACTCCTCCTCCTGCTAGCATCTTTACCTCGGAACAAATCCCCCTACCCCCATCCCAAGGCCTGTCAGCATGGTTAAACAGATACAATTCTGGGCTAGACCCCAAAATGTCTAGCCAACTCCTTCTTCAGGTGGTCAGGTGGGAAAAATCTATGTTGTGCTCCATGTGGTGAGTCACGTAGGCTTTGGGGTATGACTACAGGAGGAGCTTCGGAATCCCTCATGTTTTACGCATGTGGAGCAGAGCTTTCCCTTCCACCTAACTAGTCTCGCCAAGGGGGACTGGCTTAAGGAAGGCCTTTTGGGACCCTCACCTATAGTACAAAGTGGGTTATGCATAGAAGAGTCACCCTCTCCACCCAGATCTTTTTAAGTAAGGGGGAACCGGCTCAAAAATGGATCCAGATTTATTCTGGTGTGCTGTCTGCTTCTTTTTCAAGTAATAAAAGCTACTTTCCATGTGCTAACACTCTGGAAGTGTCTTGTGTGTTCAGGCTGTGGTCACACGGACATGGAGGGATCACTAGTAGTGATTGGTGTTCTCTTCCTAATGGTCTGGTTATTTAGGAACCTGGACCACCAAAGAGACAACCTGTCAATGTCCCATACCTCATGTGCATTGGGACTCTCTATGAACTATAAGGATGTAGGAAAGTATAAAGTGACATAACAGCCAAGTGTTAGACATGTGGCTTTAACTCAAGGTTGCCTCGTGGGCAAAAGATGGCCATTGCACTCCAGCATCACCTATCTTTCTGTCAGGAAGGGACCTGGCAAAAAGTTTTTAAGTTTAATTTCTAGAAATATTTCTACAAATAGGACTTCATTTGATCTTTGACAATGTTCTGAAGAAGGCAAGAAAGCAAGGAAATAGAGGCTCACAGAGGTCAAGGGACATGACCAAGGTCACAGAGCTAGGAGGGAGCAGAATCAAGACTTGAATCACAGTCTACATGAAGACTGTCTGCCCCCTTTCCCTTGAAGCTCTTACTCTGACTAAACTGGCCCTGAGATAAAGAGGTGAAGTAACTCTACTCACTGACCACAAACTGGGGCAGGAGGGAGGCACAGCTGGAGACTCACTGCTCAGGCAAGCCATTCTGTATACCTTCTATGTGCATGGCACTCTGTCAGTTATAGTAGGGGCAGGAGATACCCCCTGTCATCCTGGAGTCTAAGTTCCAGCAGGGTGATAAGACACAGACACAGAGTACTGTCTCCAAGAAGAGTGTAGGCAGTGTCAAGGGAGAGAGGCTCACCTGGTCCTGCATCTACTCTGTCATCACTTCTATCCATTCCATTGCAAATATCCCAGGTCTATTTTGAATTACTCCTGCCATCACTGTTTGAGTCACCACCATGTCTACCTGGCTGATGGAATTATCTTCTTAATTGGTCTCCTTGTTGCTGCTTTGGTCTCATTCCGGCCCATCCCCCACACTGCTGCAGGCTTCTAGCTTGGGTGACTGGGTACACAATAGATCATCAAGGAAAACTGAGAATATGGGAGACAAGATCTGAGGGTGAGGGACAATGTTAGGTTCTGATGTCTACTAAGAGGTGGCTGTGGAACATGAGAGGGAAGGCTTTCTCAGGCAGTTAGTGGATTCACAAGGCTGCAGGTCATAGAAACGAAGTAGTTAAAGCCATGAGAGCATTTGAGAGCAGGTAGGATGCTCCACACAGAACCTAAATGCACAGGGAGTAGAGGAAGCCATCAAAGTAGGTGAAAAAAGGCAGCCATGGAGCAAAATGTGAAAACATGTTTTAATAAGAGGGTGGATCAACAACAGATACGGCCAAGAGGACCTGTAGAATGACTGACCACAGGGCATCTTGGAGCTTTGCCAAAGTAGGTTTAGTGGAGGTTGGGGCAAGAGCCAGAGGGCAGCAGCTTGTGAGGGGCAAGGGTACAGAACAAGTATCAGTTGTTGTCAAAGAGTACTGTATTTTCATACAAACAATGTGCATGCTATATGATTTTTGCCAGCCATGCCCTCTCCCAGCAAAGTATTTTCATAAGCACATTATGCTATTTTTTTAAGTATTTTTTTTTACAGAAACAGGTTAAAAAAATTAGCATAGTGAGCTTATGAAAATACTCAGGAGGGGGATCAGTTGGCAAAAACAACTTGTTGCTTAGGAACCAACCCTATCATTAAGGTTTTGTGCTTAGGCTAAGACTATAAATCTGTAACCAAACTATCTCAAACTCTTTGTCTTAGATCTCTAGGAGATCTAATGCTCTGGGTGAAATAATGTTCAATAGTCTGTTCCTGACAGTAGACGTCATGTCATTGCCATGCTGCTGTCTTCAGTCCTGTGACCCCCTCTGAAATTACAAATATTTATAATTGTGTCTTTTAGACAATCAATGTCAGTTGTATTAATGTAATCAATAATGTTAAAGGTCATGATTTTCTTTGCCTTGCTTGTGACAGACCTCAATCACTGTAACCAATCAGAATATTGTGTTTGTAGTTGCTCCTATGACACTATAATTATGTGTGATTTATGCCCCTTCCTGGGATTCATGAGCTTCAGACCCTGAGGTTTCCACACTCCCCCATTTGAATGATATATTGCCTTCAACAAATCGCTTTAATTTCCTTTAACAAAATTGAAGACTTTTTTTCTCTACAATAGGTGCATCAACTTGACTCTGACGTAGCAACCCTGTGTATAACAGAATGAAACACTGGATGGTCCTGCACCATCCTCACAGTTGTTGCTATGTTTGAACCCACTGTTGCAGTCACTGTGTCAATTCATCTCGTTGAGGGTCTCCTTCTTTTGTTGACCCTTTACTTTACCAAGCATTGATACCTTCTTCAGCAGTTGGTACCTCCTGATAACATGACCAGAGTAAGCAAGATTAAGTCTCACCATCTTCACTGCTAAGCAGCATTCTGGCTGTATTTCCTCTAAGACAGATTTCTTTGTACTTCTGGAAATCCATGGTAAATTCAATATTTTTTGCTAACCTAAAAATTCAAATGTGTCAGTACTTGTTCAGTCTTCTTTTTTTATTGTCCAGCTTTCACATGTACACAAGGCAAATGAAAATAGCATGGTTTAGGTGAGGTGCACCTTAGTCATCAAAGTGACATCTTTGCTTTTTGACATTTTAAAGGGAACTTTTGCAGCATATGTCCATTTGATTGCCCAATATATGTCATTTGATTTCTTGGCTGCTGCTTCCATGGACATTGATTGTTGATCCAAGAAAAATGAAATCTTTAACTCCTTCCATTTCTTTACCATTTATCATGATGCTGTTTATTGATTCAGTTTTCTTTAAGTTCAGGTGTAATCCATACTGAAGGCTGTATAGTCTTTTACCTTCATAAATAAGGGCTTCAAGACCTCTTCCTTTTCAACAAGCAAATTTGTGTCATACAATTTAACATGATATGAATTATATGTACCAATGTCCAGAAATTAATTTTAAAAATACTGACAAAGGTGTACAGCAAGATAGCCCTTATAGAAATAGATTATAATCAATTGGTCAAGAAAAAGGCACAGTAGTGGAAAAGTTACAGACAGAAAGGAAAAAGAAGTGATAGGGAAAAGGTGTCAAGAGATGAGTGGACACCAAGGGACTGTTGTTGTTGTTGTTGTTGTTGTTATGTGCCGTCGAGTCAGCCCCGACTCATAGCGACCCCTCCTTGGGTTTCCAAGGCAGTATCACTACGGAAGTAGGATTGCCCAACCTTCCTTCCGAGGAGTGACTGTTAGGCCATGCAATCCTCAGCCTATATGACCATGAGACCAGAAGAACTAGATGGTGCCTGGCTACCACTGTCAACCACTTGGAGGGGGATCGGTGCAAGAGATCCTGGATAGAGTTGGAGAACAATGTGGAACAAAACTCAAAATCATTTAAAAAAAAAAAAAAAAAGGACCAGGTTTTCTGGGCTAATGGAGTCTGGTGAGACCCCTGAGACTATGGCCCCTCACCATAGTCAGGTCTGGAATTGAACTCTTGTGGCTTCCAGCCAAACAATAGACAGGCATATTGGGTGAACATTTACATCAAGTAGATACACTACTTGGAGCAATCAGTCATGGGAGAACAGAAGGGCAGTGTTTTCACAGGGAAACAGCTTGTGGGGCAGGAGTACATGGGAGGGAAGGGCACAGGGAAGAGGCAACTATGGGAAGGAAGTGGGAAGAGAGCTGTTTACACTGTGAGGAATTGTGGTCAATGTTATGAGACAAAATGTGTATGAATTGCTGTATGGAAAATGAATTTGCTTTGTAAACTTTCACCCAAATCACAATAAAAATTTTTTAAAAAAAGGAAAGAAAAGATGAGTGGGACAGGTCTGATGCCTGGGTCCACTTGGACAGAGGAGAACCTTCTACTCCAACAGGAAGAAAGGAGATGAGAATAGGTAAGTGGATGGGATACAGACCCAAATATTGCCAGATGGCCTCAGTTTTTAAATAAATAGGTAACCAAGTTCCTCAACAGGGAGGGGACAGAAAATAGGAAGAAAAGAATGATAAATATTTAGATGCATACAGGGGAGATGAAAAGAAAGCTGGCCAGAAGGGAAGCGAACTGGTGGCCAGGAGTTAGGTTGGAAGGAACCCCTTAATTCATTAGCTAGTTATAATACTGTCTTGATGGTGGAATCTTTCCACATAGCTATGCTTTTTCGAACAGGAATAGTTATCCTGACAGTGAGGATAGAAAAGGTATGTGGGATGGACACTGATCCAGAACAAATTTGGCCTCAAAGGGTCAAGGGTACAGGAGTAGAGAGAGTTGTGTCATGTGTAGAAGTGGTAAGTCAGAATAGCAAAAAAAAAAAAAAAAAAAAAAATACCAGGAAGAGAATCTAGAGATGAAAGAGACTAAAACAGAGGAGGAATAAGGAAGACAGAGCTAGTGAGAAGAGGCTGTAGGTCAGATCTCAAAGGTGGGGCAGGTGGCACATACCACTAGGCAGGTTGAAGCAGAAAAGAGCTAGTCCTCAGAATTGAGGTTAATAAGGCCAAGTTGTTGGCAGGATCATCTGTGAGGATATTGGTAAGGTTTCCAGGAGGACAAGAGGGTGGATGTGGAAGGCAGATTTGAACCAGGGGCCCACTGAGCCAGTGATGGTAGGAAGGAAGTGATGGTGGGAAGGAAGTGATGGTGCTGGCGGAGGTGAATGCCTTGAAGGATTCAAGGGTAGAAAAAGAGTCTAATGACTACAGGCTCCAAGGGAGAAAGGTCTTGGCCTCCTGGCTGGGACAACTGGGGTTTGAGAGAATGAACTGCCACCATGGGCAAGGGATGCTGAGGAAGCCAAAATCCTCACAGGAAGCAGAGGCTAAACCAAGGCAGGGATGGGGAAACCTTTACTCTCAGTCCTGGGGAGCTTTTAAATACTGATGCCTGGTCTACCCCTTAATCCCACTCAGAGACTGACTTAACTGATCTGGGGTAAGACCAGGACATGAATTTGTTTTCTAACTTTTAATTTGGATGATTTCAAATTTACAGAAAAGTTGCAAGAATGGTACAAAGAGTTACCACACATCCCTCCAACCAGAGTCTTCAAGGGTAACATTTTAATCACATTCTTCATCATTGCTTCTCCATACACACTCTTCCCACCAAGATGTTTGCCTATATGTGGGTACGAATGTTTTATAAAGCTCCCCAGGTCATGCTATTATGCATCCAGGATCAGTAACTACCTGAGTTAGTAGAAGAACCCAGTGCAGAAAAAAAGTACAAAATGGTAAGAAGGTAACTGGAAGAGAACAGTTAAGAAAATGGGGATGGGATGTCCCCTTGTTCCTGGCCCACGGCCTGAGGACAGCATTCACAAGGATTGGTTAGAACAGGCCATCTGAGCCTGGACCTTGCCTTGCCCATTATTTCTTTATCATTCCCTAGCAGTGTCTGACACTGTTTGACTGAATGCAATGTGCGTCATTTAGTACCAGAACTGGTTAGGAGCTTCCAGCAGCCTTGGAGCCTGGCAGACTAGATGATGAGATGGGTCACCAGTTCTCAAAGGAGAGGCTGGCTGTTGTGGGCATGTGTGGAAGAGGGAGTAAATGGAGGAAGCTGGTGGAAGGGGAATCAATTCTGCATCTGCTGAGTCAGAAGCTGTCACTTCCCTGCCACCCTACTGCCCCAGGTAGTTCCCTGCCCCCACCCCATCTCCACAGGGGCCTAGGGGAGGCAAGCAAGGTACCTTTTCCAGCAACTCCCCTGGGTATAGGGGGAATGGGTCCTGGGCCAAACGGATCTCCAGGTCAGCGTGGCGAAGCCGTACTTGCCCTGTGATGTCAAATAGTACTGAGCCCTGGGCATCCCGGCACACGGGGTTGGCCACCGTGCAGTAGTGGCGTGGAGGGACAGTTACCATGGGCACAGGGGCAAACAGTACCCTGTTGGAAGATGAGAAGAGGGGTGAGAACACAGGGAGAAGAGGGGTGAGAACACAGGGAGGCCATCCAGCTGCCAGAGGAATCAGTGAATGGGAGAGAAACTTGCCCACCTATTCCCATTGGAACTCCCCGTCACCTAAAGGAGAGATGCTCCTGCTTAGAAACAGGAGAAACGGGGCTGTGACCATGACAGCCAGCCTAATGGGCCCTCCTGAGCCCTGAGGGCTCCACACACAGTGGACCCCACACTGACCTCTCATTGTCCTGCCGGATGTAGGTCTTTGGCCCGACCTCCACGCGGGACACATTGCTGTTCTGGTCCAGCACATGGATGTAGTGGTATGGGGGGATGCGGATGATGGACTCTTCTGTTGCCATGGTGATCCTGGGGCTGAGCAGAATGCAGCACAGAGAATTCCACACAGGTGGAGAGAGGACACAGGATGAACATAGGGAATGGGCCAGGGAGGAAGAAGTCTGAAGAGGGGCTGGGGATGAGGGAATGGACCTGTCCTCCTCTAGCTCTGATCACTCCACCCTTCCATACAGCCAGGGCCCACTGCCTTTCCTCGTCCCACTCAGCACTACATACCCATCCAGAACACACTCTAGCCAAAACTTGCCGGATGCATTAATCACTGAAGCCCAGAGTTCTTTGCTGACTCCTTTCCCTCTGTCTCATTAACAGCCTCTCTCTAAACTGCTTTTGATCAAAACCCCCAGTCCCCACAGAGCATGGGGGAGTTGGGAGAGTTAGTCCTTCTATGGACCTGCAGCACGGAGGGGAAACAGTGGCTCTGAACAGCTCACTGGCTCCTTGGAGGCAGGCAGCCATTATCTAGGAGATCCTGAAGCCTGAGCTGTACTCAAATGTCACCCATAAATGCCCCCCAGAGCCACAGACTATTGGCCTGTACCCCTACCTTTCCTCTTGCTTCAAACAATCCTGGGGTACCTACTGACAAGGTCCTTCTCTCATGAATGGACACCCCTGACAGAACTGACACTCCCAGAGAATCGGCTGGACTGGAAACACCACACATTGTTCTAGCCTTTTCCTCCCCAGGTCCCTCTCAGGTCTGTAGTCATCCTTGGCTCTCTGCTGCCATGGGCAGGGACGGGTGGGTAGGAAGATGAAAGGAGGTAAATGAGTGTTATATTCCAACCATCCCCATCCTACCTGCTTCTGAACTGGGAGGTTGACCCAAACCCCATTCCCACTACCAGCACCCTTGAACTTTGGGTATGTTGTAACTCAAAGGAAACCAAGTTTATTGGGTGACTCAGAGCCTTGCCTTCTGAGACATTGGCCAGATGCTATAACCAGAAGGTAATTATACCTCAATGACCCAACAATTCATCCAACTTCCACTTCAGTGAAGAATGGGGAGTGATATAGAAAAGGGGGTGGCTTGGCATAGGAAAAATAGGCAGGAACCATGAAATTATGAATCCAGGCTGGAAGCTGCCCCAGAGAAGAGCTTGACATTGTACAGTGCAATGATTTTCTCACATATGACCATTCTGCCCTTGGGTTTGTAGTTCTGCCAGAAATAATTGCTTGGGCCACAGCTTGCCTTGTGATTGGCCTAGTTGATGCATCTTGCAGGGATTGGTCAGTTTATTATGCAAATATGGTGTATAAAACCATCCAATAAGTTTAAGTGACCTTGTGGGAATTGGTTGGTTACTATATACAGACTGTGCCTGCCAAGAGGATTGGTCAGTTCATGGTCTGGAGGGAGGGCTGTGACTTGAAATTGACAAGCAGTGGACTTATAAAGGGCTAATCACGCAGAGGTTGAGGGGGACTTCATTACCATCAAGAAGAGTTTAGAGTGGAGAGAATCCTTTGGACCTGGAGTCCCTGTGCTGAGAACCTCCTAAACAAGGGAGAGAGAGAGCTGTACCACTGAAGATGGCATGAGATGACATAAGTCAGAGCAACAGCACAAACAGCAGTAGGACGCATGACAAGAACCAGAGACTGGCACAAGGTGGCTGCAGTGGGCTTACTGACCCACAGAACAAGAAAGAGCTGAGAGCCTATGGGCAGGAAGCTTGCCAGCAGAGTGAGGTGCCTCCAGGCACTAGCCAGTGGGGCTATAGAATTGTAGCACTTGCCTAAGCACAGGAGTGGCAGAGAGAAGACCTGGGAGTGGGCACACCGAGAGAAGGGTGGCCTGCCTGCGGGAGTAAATGGGAATACCCTGAGAGCCGCCTGGTTGGAAGCTGTCCTGATCGATGAACTGTATCCTGTCTCCTGAGTTGTATCCTGTTACTTCCAAGTTGATCCTGATTCCGAGTTGTAGACGGTTATATTACCAATATTCCACATAATCGTTAGTTTGGTCTGTGAGTTCTGTGTGGCCACTGCAATGACTTTTTGAACCTAGCAGAGAAGTAGAGAGTGCCGTGAGGAAGATGGCTAGTGTCAGAAATGGTAAACAAGTTGGAGAGCGGAGGTACATCTGACCTCCATCTCATAGCTATCAGCTTCGCGCTGTTGCTGATTCTCATCCTGTCTGTGAACGCAGACAAGGTCTGATGCTAGTACGTTAACACTCGGTCCGCACAATCTTTACAATTTCAGTGTTTTGAATGGCTTTCAGAAATGGTGAGTTTTCATACAATCCTGACTTCTCACTTCTTTTGAAGAACTAGGAGACCAACAACACTGGACCCACATTCCCACATGGCAACACTGGCTGGAGCCAAGTAGTCAAGGTTGGCAATTCAATCCCACCAGATGTTCCATGGGAGAAAGATGTGGCAGTTAGCTTCTGTAAAGATTTACACCCTTGAAAACCCTATGAGGCAGATCAACTCTGTCCTATAGGGTCGTTAGGAGTCAGAATGGACTCTGGCAATGAGTTACTGTTTCCTTAGAGGAGTCTGGTGGTGCAGTGGTTAATCTCTCGGCTGCTAACCCAAAGCACTAGCTGCTCTGTGGGAGAATGACATGACAGCTGCTACATTCCAGTCTTGGAAACCTATGGGACAATTCTCTGCTTCTAGGGTTGTAATAAATTGGAATGGACTCTATGGCAACAGGTTTGGGTTTTATTTTGTTTTTTAACTTGTGCCTGAATGTCTGTCTTCATTTTGAAAGAGTACAGTCTTGCTCTGCTTTCCTGGTACACTTCCCAGGCCAGAGAGATGTTATTCTGTTCCTCATTCCTTCATCTTGAAACTCTGGAAGGGACTTGGCCTTACAGACACTTTTCTGCTGCTCACTTTGATGGGGAGTTTCCCAGCACTTGTAAGGTGGCTTTTCTAGCTCCAGAGCTCCCTCTTCTGTTGTTTTCTGGTACTGTCACAGACACAGGGGCTCCCTCTAACCCCCTGCCTCTCTGCCCCATCCCTTTTATCTGCCTCTTCTCTTTCCTTCTCTTCTGTTTCCACATCCTGCTGAGCTTTGTTCTCACTCCTGGAAGTTGTTCCCAGTGTGGGCTTGTCCTGGAAGTATTACCTTCAAGAGCCCACAGGCTTTGGGACTGCCTGTGTCTAATGCAGTTAAGCTATATGATCTTAGACAAGTCTGTTGACATCTCTGTACCTGTTTCCTTGTCTGGGAATGGACAATGACATCTACCTCAGAGTTATAAGGAGTAAGAGATTTACTGTATAAAGCCCCTGGAGCCAGGCTCAGAGTCTTCCTGCGGAGGCAGAAATAACACCTGAAGCCCAGCTTTCCCATGCAGTTAGGGGACTTGACAGTACCTGAGGCTCCCTCTGCCCCTGGCATCCCAGCCTTAGCCCTCACTTGTCAGGAGGGTGGCACGTGTGTGTCACTGTAGGGCCAGGGAAACAGCACAGCAGGGGCACGGGACAGCCTTTTTCAGCTGCTCCTTTGCCAGGTTCTCTGCAGGGGTGGAAGCCTGGTCAGGAAACCAGATGGGGAAAAGGAAGGGCCAGGGCTATGGGCGGAGCTCTGTGTGGCCCCATGGGAAAGGTGTGAATTCTAGATGGCCACCAGGCTGAGAGCAGGCTCTGGGAACAGCCTCTGTTTGCTCCTTGTTAGATGATCCCCTGCCTCCCAGGGCTGAGGCCTTGCCACCATCTGTCACCCCAGCTGGGCCCAGTCAGGGGGACTGAGAGCCTCACCCAGCTCAGTGACTCAGCTGAGAGTTATCCACTTAGCTAACAAGGCTGGGCTCCTGCTTTGTTCCAAGGTCAAGTCTTTACTGCAGTAACAGGACCCTGTCTTTTCTCCCTCACCATCCCCCCTGACCTACTATGCCCCCTCTATGCACTTGCCTGCTAACCAGACGGCTGGCAGTTCAAACCCACCAGCCACTCCTCAGAAGGAAGGTTGGGCAATCCTACTTCCGTAGTGATACTGCCTCGGAAACCCAAGGAGGGGTCGCTATGAGTAGGGTTTGACTCGACGGCACATAACAACAACAACAACATGCCTTCTTCCTAGAGCACCTGTCAAGTTCACCCTGCACAAGTGTTGCCTTCCTACCCTTGACACCCTTTCCTTCCGCTGAGGTAAGCCATAGGGAGGGGCCTCTTTGACTAGGCCTGTATGTCTCTGACAGGCCTCAGATTTAGACTTTTGTGGTTTATCAGATAATGTATACAGTTACAACCTCATACTTCCAATATATCAGGCCCTCAGAAGACAAAGGTTATAACTGTGTTAAAATCTGGGAGGTCCTGCTCACTGTACTAGGGCTCACCACGTGCCCACTTTCACCCCAAATCTTGCAGAGACCAGTGTCTTCCCTGCTGCAGTGCAGTGCATTGCTTACTGCGGTCCTTCTAGTCCTCATCCTCCATTGAGTCATGTATTATAAATCCTATTCTCTAAGCCTGTTTAGGAGCTTTGGTGGCGTAGTGCCTAAGGCACTTGACTGCTAACCAGAAGGCTGGTGGTTCAAACCCACCAGCTATTCTTGGAAGGAAGATTGGGCAATCTACTTCCGTAAAGATACTGCCTTGGTAACCCAAGGAGGGGTCACTATGACTGACTCCATAGCAGTTGAGTTTGTTTTGTTTTCTTTTGATGCCTGTTCGGCATGAAATGTATCTTGAATCCCACCTTACTGGAGGGTGTGACTCAAGTCACCACCCTTACCTTCTTGAGGGTATGTATATGAATGCTCTGGGAAGGTTCACTCTCTGCTCTGTTCTCCATTTGGTTCACCATCATCTCACCCCTGGACTTGAGACAGCAGCTGTCATCTGACCCACTAATTTTGGGGTCACCAACCTCTGCAACCACATAAATGGCGAGAATCCTCCAGACCTACCCACAGACTTGGGACTTGCCAGCCTCTAGCCTCCACCACCACGTGAGCCATTTCCTTGGGAGTTTGTGAGTTCTGTGAGACGTTACAGAGAAATATGGAACCCTAGGACAGGAGGGAGAG